AACCACAATAACCACAACAACAACAACGACGCCGCCGCCGACGACGACGACGACGACGACGACGACGACGACAACAACAACAACAACAACAACAACAACAACGCTTCGTTTACCTACTTGCCTCAGCCTCTTCTACCAGGACATATGCCAGCGCCACCAAAAGCACCACCACTGGTACATTACATGACACCTCACGTCGCCTAAGCCCTAATTACTCTTGAAACGCTTATGACCAACAACAACTCGCCATGGTGCGGCCGGAAACAAGCCGGACCCACGTGCAGGGGCCGAACAGTATGAGGATGCGGGATCGGGGTCATGGGTGCAAAACTACCACTACCAAACTTACTGTGGTTTGAGGCTCCTTTTCTTCGTCGTGGGCCTGTGCCCAAGGCTGCCTCAAAAGCGAGAGAGAAGCATCCGAGACAACTCCCGCACTCGTCAGCAAAAAATAATAGTCCGATGTTGATACGTGCCACGGAAAAAAACCAGGGCAGCAACACCAATACAGGGGCGAAATTGACGGAGCGAACAGTGCCGAAGATCGCAACTCCACTATGATAAGACACGGAATTGCCAAAGAGCAGGACAAGCCCCCAACCCGCAACTCAAGCAAAGAGCAATAACAACATCGAAGGATCCGGTGCCAAGAGCAGCCTGCAGCAACTTCGTGCACGCCACCCGGAAGGCCGGCGTTCCCAGCGATGCTGCCAAGCCTCTGCAATTGGTGCGGGTTAGGGGTGGGTTGAGGCTCTCAAGCCTTTAAGTCTTTCAGTCTTAGGACTTACAGGCTTAGTACAAGGGGATGAAGCCTCCACAATTTGTTCGAGTTGACGGAAACTCTGAGGAAAGCACACGTGCCCGAGCCTTACCGTGAAATGTTCCTTTCACAGCAACGCAGCAAGATGAGTTCAAGTCTCACTCACACAAGGTGTGTATGTTTATCCTTCTACATGCCCTTTGAAGAAAGAAGGAAGACTTGCACTGCAACACAAACACGAAACATGAGCAGATGACAATGCAGACGCGCCTCTACGTATACCTGTACCGTCCTAAATACATGTGTAAAACGAGAATGAGAAAGGAGGCACACACACACACAATCACGAAGTAGCAAACAAACGTCGAGGTGCAAGTGAACCTCCACATTTTAAGAACCTGGCAGAAAGCCGACATACATGCCATGTGAACATAGGTTTGGGAGCTCCTGAGCAACATACGATATTGCTTTCGTCATCCCTGTTGCCACATCCGAGTTTTGCCTGCGCTGTTTGCGACGGAACGCGCTGTTAGCGACGGAACATTCAATTTGTGCTTAGACAAGCTGCACCGCCCTATGCGCCCCAGAACCTTGACATTGCCAACTAAAGAACAGCCCAGATGCCTAACCACGCTGTCCCTGCAGGGCAGCTGGTACAGTTGGAAAGCCAGAAGGTTCGCCTGGCGTTCAAGATTCGTGGAGACTTTTGTGGAGTATATCCTGGCTTTTGAATAGGACTGTGTTTAGGTAGGATGGGGAGGGTTTGCCATGTTTCGATTGTAGCATCAGGGATGGTTGGGGACTCAGGGTCACTACGAGGTAGGTACCTCGTTCTTGCATGCTTCGGGTATCCAAACACCGTGTCACTCTATCTTGCAAACGGACGGATCGGCTATGCGGTGTTGGGATAGTTCGAGCTGACAGTCGCCACAGCATTCGTAGTCATCTTGTTCACACCAGTACTAGAACGTGGTTTTTCTGATTACGAGTAGCAGCAGTAATGGCAGTGCAGTGACAGTGGTTCAGCGGCAGCAGAAGCAGGAGCAGGAGTAGAAGCAGTAGCCCTCGACGTCGTAATCTAGCACTGGCACTAGCGGTGGGTAGTAGAAGGTGGCAGTAGCAGTAGCAACGGCACAGGAGCAGAGGAGGGGGGAGGAGGAACGCAGCAGCAGAACACATCATCATAGGACGACGAGCGGAAACCATCGTGTCAAAGATGAAACGAAACTCGAATCAGAACCATCGATGCCAATGTGCATACTTCATGCTATGGTTCCATCAAACGTAGAAATACCTAGGACTGTAACATACTGAGCAGAATCGGGGCTTTCAGTTCAGGCTTTCACGCTCAGGAAACTTCAGAAGATGCCCAGGCGGCACCCTAAAGTATCGGGCTTGAAACCGTCTGACTCTGCTGAACTCTGCATCTTCAAAACTGATCTCAAGGTTTGGGGTTCAGAGTCGAGGCTGAACTCAGGGGTCCTAAGGCATGCCGGCTCGACGTGAAGTTTGCATCAAGGTCGAAAGCTTTCTCCTTGATTGAAGATGTGTGATGTCTTTGTTACATTGCATATGTCATAGACCTGAGGCCTTGAATGCTCAGGGGTGTCTTGGGTTTTCCATGACATGCGAGACTGTTGATTGCAAGCTTGATACTAGTCTTCCTTGCCAATAGACTTCGCATGTTCTGTTCTACCCCACGAACCCCAACCTCAAACTGCAGACGAAAACCCCAAGGCCAAAAGCTTCGGTCGCTCAGAAGGCGAGCTTCTGGGATGATGCAACTCTTCTGTCTGAATTGGGCATTGGCAAACCTGAGTAGGTAGGGATGCAACTGGGCCTTCTTCATTTATAGTCACCCCTATCACGTCCCTGCAGACAAGCTTACTTGCACAGGAGTGTGTCTCTGTGTGTGCGTGTCTGTGCCAGCCCCGAGTTCCAAACTCCTGAAGCCTAATGCTCCGAATCCTTCTGGAGATCTGCTCTGAGCTTCCATGGATCGGATGTTGTGGGGTTTCGGGTTTCCAGTAGGGCTCCAGGGTTAGATCCGTAAGACCTGACGATTCGAGGGTCTATTGATAGGGTTTCTCGGGAGGCAAGTCGTGGCATTATGCATCGCACAGAATCTTACATGAACAGCAGAACCTGTGTGGCATGCTCTGTATAGTTGAATGTCCGTACACACACACACACACGAGCCCTCAGTGTTTTCTGCACTTCGTCTGCACATGCTTGTATGAAAACCTTAGCCTACGTAGGTAGATAGGTAGATAGGTTGGTAGCAGATAGACGGTCAGACAAATGGATAGGATCGGATAGGACAGGAGAGGATAGGATTACGATACGGCTAGGACAGGACAGGATAGGATGCTCTAACTCGAAGTCTAGGTGACTAACGCTGCCTTCCGAACAGGGAGCAGCATCCCGGCATGAACCACATAAAATACGAAGAGACTACCAACCAACCAATACAAGGAAAGCACCCCCTGGTTCGGCGATGATCCTCGGAGTGGTTGCCGTCATAGCTGCCAGAGCTGAACGCCGTCATTCCCGAGTCACCTCGAAGGAACGATCTCTGCCATGGGATCGGAGCTATTTCCAGGTGCGCGCTGATGGCACTTCAGACCCGTCTGATTGCTTGCCCTGTGGCCTTGGGGAATAAAGCCGTCGGGTCTGAGGTAGACGAACAAACATGAAATCCTACCTACACCCAACGGCAGCAAGCCCCACAACCAAAAGTAAATGTAGTAGAATTAGTAGAGGGGGAAGCAAGTTGTGTCTTGAATTGTCTTCTGCCTGCAGCTACGGGGTAGGATGAGCCTATGCTACGCAGAGTCTGAAGCCCTAAACTTAACCTCGCATGCATAAGCTTTACAGCGCCTGCAGGCCTTGTGGCAATTCAACTCGACAATTAGCGGGAATGAAATAACCCCCCTACAGTGTTCCCGAAACAGCAGGATCCTGAAAGACAACCCCCCCTCAACAAGGTAGTCCTACCCGCATAGAATCGAAAACAAATCCAGATGTCCGAGACCCTGGGCCCTAGACTCCTCGACCCTTATCCAAACGCTCAACATCGCTCAACCCTCGAAACCCTTTGAGCCACAACCACCGAAACCTTAACACCCTAAACCTGAAGCTCCCGCAGCCCTAAACCCCAAAACTCTAAACTGCGACGCAGCAATCCCCCAACACTGACTCCCCCAAACCCTGACCCCAGCAATAACAAATGGATCTGGGTGCCCCCGGCTGGCCGAAAGCCGCTCCGAGCCGCCTCGCTCGGGACACGCGTCGGCCCAGAACTCGAGCTCAGAGACCTTGGCAGGCCGTTAAGGCTTTCCTGTGCGGCTCGGGGTTTGGGGTCGAGGGAACCCCAAACCGTGGAATTAAGGGACCTATGTTGGGATTCTACAACACGTTTTTATGTCGTGGAATTAGGGGGCACATGCGCGGGCATATGCTGGGAGTCTCTACGGTTGGATATCATGCAAGTACGTTCAGGTTTTGGTAGTCAAGAATTACGAATGCAGCCCGAATGCGCAAAGGTGCCTGTCTCTGAAAATCAACACGAGGTCCAAATTCCAAATCTCACAAACAGCTCCCACCCGAGATCCTGCAAACTCCATGCCTCATACATTAATTCATTCGTTCATAATTCGTTAATTCGGCAAACTTGGGCTCTTTGAAGGCTGCCGGGTCTTGCACCTCCCATCTGTAGACGACTCCCTCCATGCATCGAATCCGCCAAGCACGCCACCTGAGCACGTGCATCTGACCGGTCTCGGGTTTGGGGCGTCGGAGTCATAGTCTATACATTCAGAGGTCCCCGGCTTTCGGTCGGAGCTGCTGTGTAATCATGAGGGTGGCTCCCGGTTGCAATGAATCATGCGGAAGATTAGCCTGTATCAAAACATATCGAAACTTTTGCAAGCTAAGGCCTGTGGGTCTCTGCTTTTCTCGGCGTCCCCACGCACGCAACATCTGCAATGCTACGTCTGAAACCTCAAAGCAGAAAGCCATAGATCTTGCCCCCAGAAGACGGCAACCCTGCAGGTTGCCTACACTATGGACCAGACATGACCAGACCACCTCGAAGCACCACATCTACATCCTTGCTTCCATCCAGGCACTGCTGGATCTGCAGGCGAATGTCTTGCATGGTGGTCGTGACGACCTCCGGCGCCAAAGGCAAGCCCTAAAGTGTAGCAGTTTCTTGTTATGTAGATTGAAATTGTCGCCTGACATTTTGGATTTCCGTCTTTGTGATAAGGCTTGTAGAATTCTGGTTTGGGTAGGGCTTGTTGAAGGTTCTCACCCCTGATTCCGTATCGGGTTCTGTGCTGGCCATGCAGCGGTAAACCCTAGCATGGTCCCCGAAGCTCTTTCATGAACTACTAGTACGATAACGACTAACACTACTGTGCTACTTCACTTTGCTCCTGCTGCCTGCTGCCATTGCTGCTTCACTAACTGAGTAGCACGTGAATCCGACCATAACAATCAAGTGATGCCTCGCGATGACACCGACCACGATGGCAAACTACCCGTTTGGAGTACATGCCAACTGACTTTCGGGCGACGGGCCAAAACTGAACCTTCTGTGGAACGCTTTGGAGTTTCATGTGCCGCGGCTTGGGCAAGGAGCAGATTTCGGACCCTGATTCTAGGGAGCCAAAAAAATCACCTAAACAGGAACCATACGGTTGCTCCTGCGATTCAGCGACTCCAACCTGTATCCGAGACCGCCTTTAAGCGGGATGCCAAAACTCTTAAGCTTCAGTATCCATGCACCAACGTGCCGGAAGCACCGTCGTGGTCTCCACGAAGGACGGGAACTCCGACACAAGCCCGCGCTGGGCCTGAATACTAGAGCGGCACAGCCGCTTACCGGGCTTAAGCAGCGGCTCGGAATCCACAACCGCTAATGTTCAGTCCCTGATAGAAGTATAAGATGGGTGAAGGTCGGAGGGACCTCGTATCTGTCTGCCCATCAATGGGCAGGGCTGGCTCATGGGCTACTGTGCAGGCAGGTCCTTCAGCAGCGTGACCGTACTCCGAGGTATAATCAGAACCATGTTTGTTGCAACTCCAAACGACCAAACACTTATGCCAGTTTCTGGCAGCCCACGAGCCTCCAATCAACCCATCGTGCTGCGTATCCTATCCGGGCCTGTCGAAACTAAATGCTCAGTTCTGTTCTTCAAGCCCCTGCAGCCTGAGGATTCGGAGTATCGGGGGCTTCCGCAGGCTTCGTTCATTCTTTTCAGGACACAGAAGGGGCATACGACTCCGAGTAGACAGATCCCCAATAAGCAAACCAAGCCCCTCGCGTGAATCTCCAGTCGCGAGAGTTGAAGATTCGACGACGCCGGGAAAGCGTTGTTGAGTTCCTTCCAAGGCTGGTGGCTTGGGGGGTTTCCTAGGGTTAGGGATTCAGACTGTAGGGTTAGGAGTTTAGGGTTCAGGGTTTAGGTCAGTTTAGGGTTCAGGGTGTTGGAAGGTTCGAGAATCCGAAACATACCAGCTTCGGATCCGAGGGTTTCCTTGGACCCCTCTTATTAACAGACCCGTATGCCGAACACCGTGGAATGAAATTGGGGCTTCGAAGCAAACATGCTGGGGTGTGAACCCAAGAGTCTCCTTACTGAACCAGGCACACCCATATGTTTCATGAGCCGGCAGTGCCTGAACCCATTTAGCAATTTCTGCACGGTTTCTACATGTACATGTGTGTCATGTTGAAGCGCGCGCAAGTCGTACGATTGGGATGTAGGCAGCAAGTCATCGTATCGTGCTGATGGTTGCTCTCTGTTGCCCCCATCCCTAGCTATCGGTCGACTCTCCACAGATGAGTGCAAGGAGGTATCCTGGACCTGAACCGACAACTCTCAGTCCAACAGCACCAACCCAAACCTTACATGCCCACAACCTAAAAAGCTAAAGTCCACAGACCCAAAACGCATTCAATCCTATAACCCCCTTTGACCTTTTACATAAACCGTATGGACCGTATGGACCTTCAACCCTGCAAGCCTCTTCATCTCTAGACCTGAAGCGCTATGAATCCTATACTCCCGAGACAATTAACAACAAGAAAACGACATTGGCTTGACGCTGCTTAGACCTTCAAATGCCTCCTGTAGGCGCTCTTCAACCGGATCCAGCAAATTCTGGGCCTGTCCATGGGGCGGTCCGACACGATTTAAGAGGAGGCTTCAGGTACAGGTTGAAAAGCTCAACGAACACTGCGCAACTTAAGTCTTCCCAGAATTGAAGTGTCTTTCGATCATCAGGGTGCTACTGGGTATACCGGGCAAAGCTGGTTCCTTGGACCGGAGGAGGGAGAGCGCGAAATTCCCAAAGCGGGACGGGGCCTCGCTTTGGAAGTTGGCGAGCAACGTGATGTCCGAGAGAGACTGCATCCTGAAAGTGTGTACAGACAAAGAGGCTTCCGGCGCCAGTCTTGTAAAGCATACTGGTGTCCTCAACATTAAGACCCGACACATTCTCTTAGGGAGGGGACCTGCGCTCCAATTCAGGTGTAACCATAGACTGGTCCGATGTCTTATACGAACATGAGAAATCCAAAGTGCCAGCGCTAGCTTTTGATGGAGCCATGTGCCAGCTGCGAGCAGCAAGGTTCTGCGTAAGGCGTAAGGTTCTGCGCTGCAAGACACTGCTATCATGAATGGGTTATGTAATAGCCTGAACGACTACAGCATTACGTCTTCATCACCCCTGATGCCGCTCAGGCCGCTGTGTTCTATGAGGTCTAGAGCCCTTCGACACACTGCTGCAACAAAAATCATGCGCGACTGCCGTCAGTCTCGGTGCAGGAACCGATAGATGCGGAATCTTGTCGGATGATGCGACACTTCTTCGGGTTTCTGTAAAACTTCCTGCTGCTCAGGAACAGCACTTGTTGACGCCAAAGCCGCAACCCCAAAGGCCGGCCGGGGGCCATGTGTTTCGAGATTTGAGGTTCGCGCATTGCCCAGCTTCGGAGTGGAAGCTTAGAGCACGTCTGAGATCGACGGACTAAGGACTTACATTCCGGGAAGGGCCGCTTAGAGTCTTGGAGGCTTCGAGCTGTCGATTTACGGCGGCCCCTCATTGCCTCTGGATGTCGGTGACGTTGATGATGTGAATATTGAGCGACAGAAAGGCAGTGTGCCTGCAGCACACCGGCTAGACATTACAGTGAGTCAAGCTAGCCGGGGTTAGAAACGTCACTCACTCTACTAGTCTATGGTGACTACTATGCCTGCTACAGGGCTCGGAGCCTGCCGTCTGAGATGGAGACTGGAAGGGTTCGTACTTGGAACCTGTACGGTGTAGGATTTAGAGGATGAGCGCTTGCTGTGGCCTTGCGAAACTTGTAATCAACAGCGTGCAATGAGATGATCCAGTTCATAGTAGCAGACGCAAAATAGCACGTCATAGGACAAAGTTAAATAATACGGCGCAGCACAACCAAAACATAAAAGAAAAGAACAAAGTAGATCTTTCTCTTGGAATAGAACAGCAAAGCATAGAACTGAAAAAAACCGAATGAATAGAAGCACAACCAGTGAACATGCAATATTTAATAACCTGGCTCGTCAGCAGCTGCAACGCCTGCCAGACTCCACACCCCAAGCCGTCATGCCAGGTGGCTGTGCCCACACGGGAGGAGGCTCCGATCCCGGCAAGTTCAAAGGAGCCTCGGAGGGGAAGGACGGTTTAGGGCTTTGCGGTGTGTGCATTCTGAATGGTGGGGAGTGTACGGAGTTGTGCCTCAAGCATTCGCGCGCTTGTGTCAGCACGAAGCTCCGTCCCAAAGTGTACAGCTCATAACCGATGAAAACCGAAAGTAAACCTTCACGAAGGCTGAGACAGAGACCCGCCCGAGAGACGCTCAATCAAAACGAGGATCTGCAGGTTTTCACTTTCACTCCTTTCATTTTACAGCTTAAAGAAGCTGAGTAGAATGCCTTGCTGTAGCTGATCTGCCCGCTGATGACCACAGCCAAGGGGTTCAGCTGCAAAGAGCTGGCGGCACCAATTTTCGGGTGGCATAGTCTAGTAGTCCAAGCAACAGCAAAGGCAGCAACAGCAGGGGCCTGAACCAAGAAGTTGGGGCTTAGTTCAGGTGCCGGACTTTACGAAACATGAGCTGCATGTCTCTTGATAGAGGGAGGATGCAGGAGCAATGTATCTGGATTATACATGACGTCTAAGTCCTGCACCTGGCATCCCGGCCATGCTTGAAAATCGAATCTGCTAAATCAGTATTGCTCCCTGGTTTTAGTGGTGTCGTTCATTCGGAGCACCTGCGACGCGAATCTCACTGACCATCTGAGAGGTTTGATCTTGCCCGAGAAGCGTTTGTGCTCTCAGGTTGAGATTTTCGACTCCAAGGTCCGAGGCTTCAAGGCCATACTCCAATGTAGCACAGGGACGGAGGGCCGCTTGTAAGCAGCTAACCTCCACAAGCTTGCAGGCGAAAGGACATGGAGTTGAATGCTCCGTGATCTTTGAAAGCCTTCGTGCACCACCTGTCCAGACCCCGATCCCCGAGGATGTGGAGACACGCAGAAAACCAAAATTAAGAGGATCTCAAAGCCGAAATCCTAAACCCTAAACCCCAACGAGCCTCCCGAGTGACACAGCGACAGCGTCCGCCAGAAATGTAGGCACTAGGCTAGTGGGGTCTGCACCTGACAGGGAATGCTTGAGTCAAGCTCTCCAGC